AAGCGTTAACGTCGAATTAATAAAACTCTTGTGGCAGAATGTTAAACATATCTGCTGTTTCAACGCGACTAAGGAAACACGATACATATGCGAAGAGAATGATTGAGATAATAAAGATATAATTATAACAAATTTAACTGAGTTAAGGTAATCGAGAAATATACGACATGCGCAAGAAATAAATGAAAAAACGTATTTTAATTAATTCATCCTAGGTCCTAGTGCACCTGTTGAGTATGCCACTCCTTTTCATAATAGGAAATAATATATTTTCACATTTTTAATACTTAAAATTTTTTCTTTTAAGACAAAAATTATTTATCTTCGTGATTTATATGTATGTATTATATAATTTTTGAGGATGTAGTTGAAAAATTCAGGAAGGGGCTGCCTGGAGCATTGAATGAGTAGATTATGTTTCGTTCGATTATACGTCTTTTATGTTTCGACGTGATAAACCCCAAAACGCCTTCGGTTTCAAATTAGGTTGAACTGCTGTAAATTTCCAACCTATATGACGATTACAGTTTTTACACGTAGCTATTGTCCATCCATATCTATAAAAATTCAAATTTATGCATTATGCATGTTATTTCCGAAAGTAAAGAATCAGTAATATTTGAAATAAGTTTTACCCTGGGAACCACGTATATTCAGTAGAGACTATCTGATGACTTAGCACTAGACCTTGTGCATGATACAAAGTCACAATATCATGTATGATACCATTGCTATTGCAATAAATCCCAAGTGGACCTTCTATACTCATTGTTAACATATGCGACTGTTTTCCAAAGTTAGTTTCACAATTAGTACAAACGAATAGTTTACCCTATAGAGCAACAACTATTTTCTTTTTAATAATTCTATACATTTATAATAATAAACAATATTAGTTTTATACATACGTACAGTAACTAAATGTTTAATTTCCATTTGTAATCTGGAAATTGCACAATCATAACGTAATAAAACATTTCTTTCCTTATCATCTAGTAATAAATTCTGGGCAATCCAAAATGATAAATTTGTAGGATCTTCTGGTATATTAGCATCCACTAAAATTATTTGAAGTAAAAGATTTATTATACGTTGAAAGTTGAAAAAGTTTCTTCAACTTTTTTAAGAGCAGTATTGGATATGCTTACTATGACGAAACAATTGGAGGTGTCTCCGTATTTGTAACGATAGTCTTAATGGATCATATTGTCTGTATACCCAACCAGGCCAAGGAGTTACTACTGCATCTCGATTCTCTACCCACTCTTGCCTTTTAAAATCTTCAGTAGTTGATTTCATCCGGAAACGATCTAATGATGCCAATCGTTCATCGAGAAATGGTGGTCCAAGGGTTATCTCCGGCAAAATTTTAACATTTGCTGATATTCGATCATATCCCTACATATGTTTGTAGACACAAAGTGTTATTAAAAATTTCTAGTTTAGAACAAAGGAAGTACAGAGTATAGTTAAAATTGACCTGTATAATGAGTTGTAAAATTTTGAACCGTTGTCTACCCATTGCTTTCAAATTATATCCTGCTTCAGGGCCCAAAGACTTGCATTCATAAATTTCAGCTGTTACACCTATGGGTGTAACCACATTGTTATATCCAAAGCACACAACACCTATGGTACGGTTGCTTTGAAGGCAGGATAACATGTCAATAGCATGCGTACGAATTTTCATTGGTAATGTTTGTCCCGGAAATAACATAACAGATTTCTGTTCTAGTATTGGTAGTTTTATATAAATTCCTTCATCGAATATTGTTCTTCCCCTGAGCTCTTCCAAGTTTAATCCAAAATACTAATAACAGATTTATACATTATAATAAGTACAACTTAACAATATATTCTAATTTGTAGAAATAAATACAGTTGAACCACTGCAACTCAAACACCACTACAAGACAAGAATTTTCTATTTGGCCATAAAAATCCCATAACTTAAAGATCTTAGTTTTTCCTTTGACATTCGAGTTAGCAAAATTCAACTGGATCTATAAATAAAACTTTAAAAACATACGGAATGTGTGGCTGGCAATGATAAGTCAAACGTACGCTCCAGCGGTTCTTCTTCGGATTCTCCTTCCGATTCTAAATAGTTATACTCTCTCAAATATCTCTCCGACTCTTCCATAAATGTCGCTACGTAAGTGTTGTATACTTTAGGCTTTGTTTCAATTGAAAAGAAAATATTCGAACAAAAAACATTAATAAAGTATAACAACGTCAATTTCGTGTCGAATACGTTGCATGCGAAAGATACGAAGATATTAAGAATACAACATATATTTGCACTTAGACTGACATTTTAATACTTGTAGAAATAGTAACAATATGTGGAAGCATAATACATAACCTAATTGTCTAACATACGTAAAAACTCAGAAGATGAATCACTTAATACGCTATCACTTTCTGCGTCAGAGTCCATTGTTGTTTGGATATCCACCGGGTTCTTAGAACTTCGTAAAAATTGTGAACAATTAGAATTTTTCTTTTGTTGAAAGTTGAACACAATACGTAAACCTTCTGTTTACAAACTACCGTGAACTTCGCCACAAAGGACCCCTACAGTCTCTACATAACAGGAACGAATCTCTGGTCCTCTGGTCTCTGGTTCAGTGTTACCAGAAGCGAAGACGCAAATCAGGATGCGTGACGTCATGAAATATCTTATTTATTCTGATGCTTTGTATGTTGTACATACCAAGAGAAAATAAATTGTACTTCTCAATATAATAAAACTAGTATATGTATAAGAATCAATAAGAACTACTAGTATACACTCCTGGCAACACTGCTCTAGTCTTTTTCTAAATTGTACCATTGTGAATATAACTCAAGAAAATCGCAATATCGATAGTTAAAATAAGAATGAAATTTAAAATGTCGAATTTTAAGACTTTTAATGCTTTATAATACAGATTTCAGTTACATTGAAATATGATACAGACAAACAAAATATAATATAAGAAATAATAATACTTTAATATAAGATCAATAAAAATACTTTCATATATTTGCATAATACGAAAATTAATTTTTAAACTCGGTCGAGAAATTGCATTAAACCGAGATTAAACTATTAAGTAGCTAGGTATGTATAGGAGATAGTTTTAAATAATACATAATAATACATAATTATTGTACACAATATTTTCCTTTTTTTGAATAATTAGGCAATCTGCTGTGTAATCCATCCAATGTAATTATATACATTTACATAAACACCTGGAACATTATATGTTGCACAACCAATACCCCATGCTACCATACCAACAACTTGCCATTGTCCATTTCCAGATTGACACACCAATGGTGAACCACCATCACCCTAAAAGAGTTAATTAATTTTAACTGCAGATCGATCTATTAAAATTAATTTGAACTATATTGCTAAATAATCTGTGGTAGTTTAGAATAAAGTCACAAAATTATAATTCTTACTGTGCATGCATCTTTTCCAGTTTCTCCACCAGCACATATAAAGCTGTTTTTATCAAGATTATAATATTGCCCAAGTCTAGTTCTACGAAGAGAAACTTCACAGGTTGATTGTTTTACAATGGGTACATCCACTTCTTTCATTATGCTTTGATATTGACCATTCATACCAAATGCATCTTTTCCCCAGCCTGATACCCAACACCTTATAGAAACACAAATGCAATTGAACTTAAAGTATCAATAAATACTATAAAATGGTAGATTATAATAATTATATATTAACATCATTATCATTTATTATTTTTTAGAGAATATTTATACTTACCTTGTACCAGCTGCAGGTTCTGCTGTAGGAAAGCATGCAGTATTAATATTTGGGCTGCTAGAAACAGGTACTGTGCTACTCAATGTTATAACAGCAACATCATTCTGAAGATTATCAGAATGGAAATTTGTATGTATAACAATTCTTTGGATCATATATTCTTGGTATGGATCAGGTTCATTTGTGGACCTACTATCCCACTCTCCCAATCTCACTTTAAGTCCACCATTTCTGTAAAGCAATTTTTGTAAAAATTAACTAAGGTATAAAATTTTATGAAAGTAATTAGACAGTAATAAAAAATTATAAGATGCTCACATATAAGATGCTACTTTGTGAGCAACAGTAAGTACATGATTCGGTGTAATTAGAACACCAGAGCCTACATAAACGTTATTTGTAGTCAAAAGTACAGCTTGCCAAGGATATGCCCCATAACTGGCTTGACCTTGAGGATGTAGACCTAATGGAATTTTTCTGGTGCCACAAGTACCACCATTTATAGTATCCGTTGATGAACAGCAATAAACTTGCCCAGCAGAACAATTAGAAGCCTAAATAATTAAAAAATATAATCTTTGTATGAAAATTTGAACATTCTAAATTATATCTACTTCGTTCTTCTACAATAACAAAATATCAACTATATTGAGTTATTTTGAACATTGTTATTCTTAATTAAATATAATTTTATATACGTACCGTATTAACTATTCGAATGTCAATACCCGTAGCCACAGTAGGACAACTACCCACTGATACACAAGAGCACATCATGCCATTGTTGTTACCTTAATAATAAAATAAAAAGGTTTATGAAAAATCAAGATTAAGAAATTGAAACAAAATATTTTGAAACGAAATTTTCACTCTTAATCGGAAGACTGACATAAATTAATCGAATTGACAATTCAAAATTACTTATTATTTTCATTATTAAATAGTACTCCTGTCTACATTAAATTTTTTGAAGCCACGAGCAAAGAATTTTTTTATTTAAATACTTTACGTACTTTGCATATTTGCAGGGGAACTGTTATCAAAAATGATAGTGTCACTTTGTGCAAAAACTTGATCCCGCAAGATGCTGACAATGTATAACGTAAGCAACATATTAATCATGATGAAGCAATTAAAAAAGATAAACTTGTTTGGATTAGTTTAATGCGGTTACTATTCAATAATCTTCAAGTTTGGACTATTGGACGAGTTAGGACGCACAAATAATGAATTCTAGCCGATCAGACGTACGTTTATTTATATACAAGTCCTGCGGCGTTTTTGTCATAGCTGTTAGAATAACCGATTATCTCGTACATCCTTTTGGAACGAGAAGAATGTATGGCCTTTCACAGATAATAGAGCAATAACGTTTGGTGACAATGAAACGGGCGTAAAACATATTACTCCCGGTAATTTGACGAAAATTACTTCCGATCATGATTATGTCTTCATTTGTATACAAAATTAGTGTCAGGACACTGCTTTTTGTAACAAACTAGCCAGAATGAAACTACCTACACGGTACCAAGGCCAAAAGCGAAGAAGGTCAATTGGCTCTCCGTAGTTATATTATGAACCAAGTTATAGTTATGTTGAATCTTTTTCTTGTCGTTTTTTTCTTTTATTATGTCTACCGTAAAATCGGCGTAATTCCGAATACACGACACGACCATTCGAAGCTACGATTATAAAATTAAGGATATGTAGATGTGGAATACACAAAGACGGGTAGTAAATCTGCATCGATCACTTTATTTATACACCGAGATGCTACATTATTCCGTTTCGAAAGTATTATTTTCACGATTTGTTTGCATCAGCTTTTTTTCCTCTTTTATTTTTTCTCGTTCTTGAAAGCGTAGAACACTTAAAACGTTATTGCTCGAACTGTCGTCAATCCATTGAGACACTAAGCATGTCTGAACTAACAGGAGTACGTAATATACACGAAGATTGTTCGATAGTTGTCTTGACGTCGTGTAAACGATAAACAAAAAATTTGGAAATTCACAGAGGAGCTTTGTCCACGGCATCAGTCAGTTGATTGTATCATATCCAGAGGAAAAGATTACCTTCCAATGTAAATTCGTAGAAACTATCTAACGTGGTCATAGTACAGAATGGTGCAAACAATATAAAAATATTTACAGTATTCGTTACGCGAAACACCTTAAAACGGAATTTGTTCAAAGCTCACTGTCTTTTGCACCATTTTTTCACCTTTTTCCCGTTTCTTTTTATCTACAAAATGCAGTAAAAAAAACTGCTCTCTTCTGCTTTAGAAACAGAAATTCGAATATAAGACAAGACCAAGACCAGATAAGAGTACGACTTAAACTTTAAACACATTTAAAAAGTCATATAAAATCAGAATTAACAGCTTCCTAACTAAGTTGGTACTTGACGGATAGTGCCTAAGAGGTAGTAGCAATTTTTTCTCGTTACACTCGCGCTGATTAGAATATAATCAGTTTTTCCGACCTCCGCGTCTCTTCATAGAAGATGTACATTGAGGACAGTACCACTTGCCTTTTGGCGGTGCAGTGATACCTACACATGGATAGTGAAACCATTCAAATGGACACTGCAAAGAAATGCATAAATTATTGCTCGTTTGCTAATAAATACAAATTTTATTACAAAGTAAGAATTAAACTTACATCGGAATTGTCACATGCGACCATATCACCATAAGATACTTGGTTGCATATACAATATCTTGGTTCGTTTGGATCGTACGTCCAATCTGGATTATCCGAATCCACTACTTGTGTATTTGAAGTTATAACTGGCGGCGATACTGGTTGCTGAACGGACGCAGCAACTACACTCGAACTTGGAACCGCGTTTGCGACTTTCCTAAGGTCATAATAATAACAATTTAGTAAACAAGATGGATAACAAATATCGAATAAAAATATTATCAATATTTAACTGCGAAAGAACCGTACTTTTTATGCTTTTTATTTGATTCTTGTATAGCTGCAATAGCGGTTTGAGCAGCGCCAGCTAATTCTCTACTGAATTCGGCCGCGTGTACACCACCAGTATTGATAGCTTCATAACTAGCTTTTAAACTGGCAGTACGTCGGCCCTGTTGCATTTGCTGTGTCGCAGCAATTGCTTGGGATGCTGCAGCTGCTATGGCATTTCCACCAGCTCCAATGTGACCAAGATTATAACTTACAGAGCCAACAGAATTCGCAATTGAAGTAGGAGTGGATGGCACGCTCGTGGCGGCAATGATTGGTCCTGAATTTGTAGAAGCTGGTCGCGACTCAGGAACACTCGGTGAAATTTTTTCTATAGCTAAACGTTTTTCTATCGAAGTTGAGGATGCATTTGAATCTCTTCTTTTCTCTGCCCGAGCTACAGAAGGAAAGTATGTACATAGTTATAGGATCGGTTTTATCCCTGTATGCAAAATCACATATGTATATTACAATACCACTTACAATGACTATGATTGTCTCGTGATCTAGTGGTTGCTGTGAAACTATACCGATTCTCTTTTTGACTACTATTCGTGGGTGGTTGATCTAACTCCAATGATCTCTTTTCCAATATTTCCGTGATACCTTTATTATCTGCTTCTAGCTCCATTTTAAATTTGTGCAGTTCCTGGTCTAATCTTCTTAAATATCTATCTACTAAGTCGTACATCTGATTAGCTAAGTGCACCTTCTCATCCGCATCTTCCAATGTCTTATAATATTCTCTTCTAATGGCTTCGTATTCTGCTTCTTTTTCGCTAGGTTTCATTTTCTTTGCATTTGAGAAGAAAGTTTTTACTTTTTTTTCTAAACTATCCATTGAATCTGTAACAGTTGGGACGATCATCAAAATTAATTATAAGTAACATACATGCATTGTAAGCATATGTAGAACACAGCTTCTATGTTGCTTAAAGCGATACATACTTTGTACACCTAAGTCCATTTCTCTCATTTCCGTAAACCGGTCTCTTAATTCTTGTGGTAGGTGCTCGATCACTAGAAGCATAAAAGAAGGTCAACATAACCAAACAATGTTGAAGTAGAAGAATCAGTTATCTAACAAAAACACACATTTATCTACATGACAGAATCATTGCAACATTTCTGTGCTATTCGTCAAACATATTACAATATGAGTTTAACTCCAAAATGTATCAGCAAGAGAAAAGGTGGTTACAAACCATTCAGAAAATATACGACTAACCTAAAACTTACATAGAACTGTATAATAAGAAACTGCTCATACTGCAGGACGTTCAATTTTACATTAAAAAGGAACGCAGTGTTTAAGTGATTATATGTAACAGCAGAATATTTGTAAATATATTCGCATTGAAAGAAGTTTTTGATGTTTTCCCAAGAGAGCATATTCGGGAAGGTTAGTAACTTTCTTGAGGAGCTGGGTAAGCAAAGCATGCCTCGTTTTTACGTACTTTCGACATAATCTTCCAAGTAAAGCATCCTTTCGTGCTGGCACTTCGTTGCCTGGTGTTTAATTTACAATTATTTACAATGTACTAAGGGGGAGTGCTTGCCGCCGTAGCAAAATTAACGAAAATTGTAGCACTCGATCGGAAGCGTGTTTACGGCGGCCAAATCCCTTGTTGTACCCTCATTTTCACGCTAGTTCTTTAAACGGTGCGAATCTGTGAACGATTCGTAGAAAATATCATCTAAAAAATGTCATTTCTCCGAAAATGAGTTGCCTAGCAATTAATCAATTCGTAGCAGTTCTATTTATTTTGGAATTATTACTGGCCAGTTATCTATTCGTTGTAATCCGCCATCTTAGCCTAAGACTCAGGGATGCCTTCATACAATGTTGGTGCCCTGCGTAAAACATTTTTGAAATTTAATACTGTAATTTCAAACTGCAATTCCTAGCCCTGCCGTTTTTAGCACTTGATGCACATATCAACAGCTGAAGTGTTTCAATTTTTAACCGTACATTAATATTCGTGCTTTATGTTCATATTTCGGTCTACTACAATCAGAGTAAGTCAGTAACGTGTACAATTTACATTTAATTGAAAATTACTTAAGAGAAGAGCAGCGTAGAGTTGAGGATCGGAGACTGTGTGGCTTTTTAGCGCGATCTACACATCCCTTGACCACCGATCGTCGTGTAAGCTTCCTTCGCGTTTCAACAAAAAGTGCCTTGAACTTTTTCACAGGAAAATGATACGACGCAGCCCAACAAGACTTGACTTACGACTAGATGATCTGGTCGAGTACGAGGCAATGAGGAAGAAGGCGCTTGAAGCCAAGAAAGAGTCTGAGAGACAAGCAGCATTCAATCCTCCCCCGAGGGGTAACAAAGTGCCGCAAAGTGAAATCCAAGAACGCATTGGTTACACGCCGCAACAGAATCAACCTTCGCATTCTCGAACTAGTATATAATCTCTTACGTTACACACTGTAATAAAAATGATTTTTATAAGTAATGAGTGGGGTGGGTATTAAAGAACGATGTTTGTTGAACTTTTGTATGATTAAATGAGTTAATTTCATTGAGATTGGTTTTCACAGCGTTTATTGTAATGTGTATTACTAAAATATACATGGCAGCATTTTTTTGTTTCACTCAACAGTTCAGGGAGGTAGTGACAATAGAACATCGACAGTCGTTAAAGGTTTTCGGACACATTCTCAGCGATTAACAATAGAACACCTGATACTTCGGCGTCGTGGTTCGATTAATCAAATGATATGATCACTCAATTAAAACGAATCAAAACGATTGGCGTGGAAGATATTATTGCTGTTCAGTATATCTCGCGCGTGTTAGTAAGTACATACGTACCACCGAAATTACAAGGTAGTGTCGTTAGTATTTTGTAATGTTAATCTCTGCTTTATCAAAACAATCGTTGCTCATCGTGGAAATGCAAATTAAGTATCAAAATGGGGTGTCGTAGAGTAACGAAGCGTCACGTAAAATAATTCTATACTGTATTACATCGGAATAAAAATTCACTCGAAATGCATGTATTGTCATCGGTTAATCGGTAATGCGTATAATCATCCTCTGAACCAGCAGAAAACTACAAGTACATGAAATTCGTGTCGTACGTGACAATCTCAATTCCATAATTAAATCAACCCGCTATGATCCTCGTAAGGCGCGACTTAAGCTATCCTTTGCGATCATTTTTTACCACGACTAAACGTTTGTACACTTATAAACCTTTGTTGAAGTATAAGTACGTAGGTACGTCCCTGTTCCCGCAATTTTTCTTCAGTATCTCGTAATTCTCGGCCTCCCAGCGTTTCAGAGTGCTCGATTTGATTGAGCTGTAAAGAAACACGTACAAATAGAATATCTGTTGACGATTTCACAATGTGATCGTTAACAAAAAGACATATATTGAAGTTTCATTCGTTCCTTACCAGTTTTGTGGGAACAATGCACATGCTGTAGGCACCATGAACGTCAGGCTGTAAAATTATAATAAAATTATTACGTATTTCCAAATAATTATAATCTGTACGAAAAACAATCATTATAAAATTACTTACAAACAGCCGACCATGAAAACTTGTATCGGTGCGTGCAGAGGCTTAATGCATTGCATAAAACGGTACTTCTCGAGTCTCGCCATTATAGGTGGAAGAATCACTAAGAAAGAAAATTTGAATTTCATTAAAAATCAACATTAAAATTAGTTGTTTGCAATTTCTTTGATTCACTTACGCATGCCGGGTGCACACATGATGATCCTCGAGATGATCACTTCACTGATACCTTTGACTGCCGCTAACTGAAATAAGCGTTTCAATCATTTGATTATTCAGCGCGTGTTAATTACAGCGTTTCTCGTACCCTTATTGTAATTAGCAAAGCGCACCTTTGACTTTGCAAGTTTGTTGCCGTTTTCGTCGGCGATCTCGATCCCTTGACTGATTTCATTCTGCCTCATCAAGGGAATGTTCGCGCAATTGGCTGCGGCGACTGCAGCGAATGGCACATAACGCTGTCAATATAAATCGTTCTTTCTTTTTTTGCGCACAAATTGCGAGCAAGATGATCCAGAGTGTACGGAAAAATTGAATGGTATCGAACAATCAAATAATTTCATTCCATGCAAGATATATTTGAAAAAAAGTACACTGCTGGTCGAATCAGAAATTTCTTACCGCCATAAGTGGATTCGCACGTTTTCCCCAAAACGATTTACATCCTATCGCTGTTATCATAGCGGCCGTGCTAGCGCTCGCATAAGCCACCCCTAATTGAAGCTCGGTGATAGGACTGTTTGCGTTTCTGTTGGTGTAATTGACTAGAGCATTGAACGATTGATTTACCCATTGCCAGAAAATTACAGCTGTATTTGTTCTGCAAACACAATATCACAACTTATTTACTTGTAGAAACGACTATCTTAGCTGTAGAAAATTTTGCTTATCGGATACTATCAAAGATGTGATCAACAGTAAATTTGTATCATTCGAATTTTCTGTTAATTTGAAGATAATACGAGACGACATAAATATCAAATGTAGATGTTGCGCTATTCCGTAAAGTGAAAGTACAATAAATTATGTTGGAATATTCATGATTCCGCGTCAGCAGTGGATTAATCTGTAGTAGGCAGACGTAATGAGAGGAAATTTACTTGTAGAATTGAAGCATAGCGCCGGTCACAGCCATTCCACCTGGCACTTGGAAGGACATTCTGCCAAAGACATTCTGCAGGTCACCAGTGTCGGGATGAAAGGCCGACTCGTAAAGCTTCTTAGCATAGATGATCTGCTCCCGGGTTGTACCAGCTGGCTCTTTCCCAAATCTAAAGGATAAACTGGCTATTGATTTTCGTAGACGTAGAAAGAAACAGGCAACTATAAGTACGCCCCATATCACCATAAAAGTTTTCAGAAATGATCTTCTTTCATACAAAATATTGTTCGTTTATCTACTGTGTTGCCCACCTGGCAATAGAAAGATAAGCGGATTAATTTTTAGATGCTTCAAAGTGCTGCAAGTTGGTACTTATGATTTCTGTTATTATTATAACAATGGTTTATCGGGCACTATTTACGCTAGCGTCCATGCTATCAAGAGAACTGATCTATGGCGTAAAAATATTCCTTGATTAGATACAGTTCTATTGCAGACTGTTTGTTTCATTATTTTTGTAATCAAAAATTAGCACGGAATGATAGCCTTATTTGCAGGTCTTCAGAAAGTATGAATATCTGGATCTGTAGAAGAAACCTGTTTTTTGATTTCATTTTTTATTACTTCCTCCTCTCATGAAACTGTTTTTCGCCCACGGTGAGGTGACCGTACGGGTATGGGGAACCAGATATTTTATGGTTACTGATCGCTACATTCTAGATAAAAAAAAGGGGTTATCATAATTCTCAGAAACGAGGACATCAAAGTTTTGAGTAAATTTTGCAATTTTATGACAGTTCAAAGAAAAAGTTGAAAGTCCGGGATATTTTGAGGGTGACCTACATTTTGCCAAAAATCTTTAAAAAAAAGAATAGTTTGTTTTAAGACCATTCCATTGATAGATGCGTATGCACCTCATCGAACGTGTTCAGTCCACGAAACAATGCGCAAACGAACAATTGACGAAATGAATTAACGAACGAGCGTGATTGGTAATTCGAGGATACGAACAAGTTCGCGCGTTCCATCCATAAAACGGTGAACATCGTTGAAGCATGCGTATTGAAGAGTGCCATTGATAGGCCAAAATGGGTCATCCCATAATCAATTTTCGCGTTTCTCTTTATCGGGCCTATTTCTGAACCGTGAGCCTTATATTGGGGCAAAATTGGCCCGTGTTCAAACAGAATTAACCGGTCTTCCTCGCCGTCCACTCACTTATAGTCTTCGCATAATTTCTTCGCTTGAAGCAACTCGGACTCGGGAACGGTGCAAGTTCGGAAGTCAGTCACCCAGGCGAAGTGTTTCCATCTGCCCTCGAAGGTCGCCAGATCCCAGAGTGGTTTCTCTATGTCCAGCCTTTCTTCTCCCATTTTTCTTGATCGGGGACCGCAGTCGTCTCAGTCCTTCTTCAACAGACGCGAGACATCGCTGATAAGACCGGGGTCGGGCTGGCTTTCATCAAGGTACTATACTTAAAAATATTAGAAACAATAGGGTGACCTAACGACATATTTATAGCTGCCGACTATCCGCGCCAAGATAACTATAATATTCATACACGATAAAAGCGTGTATTTTTCTCATTAATTGATCCAGATAGCACCACCGTACTGCTCTAAAAATTATCCAAACTCATGTTCATTCGAATAGAAAAACTTTTAACTGATAATACTTGTTTTAAAACTATACGAATAAGATCGTTACAATTCAAAAATATTGTTCGCTTCCTGTGTCAAAATTATTCCGCTCCCACTATCGTTCCATGTAAACAGACATCGAGCAATTTTATTTCTCCCCGCTATCTTATCGTGCCTCAAACATATTTCAACGTGCAAGAGCATCCAAGGTCGACACGGTTTCTCCGTAACCGAAATTGTGTTACGAATGCTTTTGCGTCATTTAAATCAACGGTATCGCGGAGCATTTAAACGTAGCGTGCTCGATATACGGCGGTCGACCTGATGGCCGATGTTTATCGATTGTTTAACACTGATTTTCGCGTGATAATACACCTACAAGACGAGCAACTTGTTTAAGGCAACAAGGAATTAAAACAAATGTTAAATCGGATCTATCGATCGATGTTATTCGGACGCACGTGAGCCACTCAATTTTGTCAGCGCGAGCAGCGGTTACGCGCAGGGCTGTGCCGCGAGACCGACGCGCCCAACGCGGCGCGTATCGGCGTCAGCTCGCCCGAAATGCGCTAGAATCTGCGACAGATACCAATATCCGACGAGCACAGCTGTCATCCTCCGTGCACGGCTGGTTTTCGTGGCATGGACGTCACTGGACATCACCTCCTCGAGAAACACCATTCTGCACCGCGAACGTGCCACTTCACGTTCCGATGAAAATTTTGCGCGTCGTTTGCAGCCCGATTATCGACTATCCGCCGTCGTCGAGGGAAGGGGCCAACAACGAACGCCCCAATTTGCGTCGGATTACCGGCACATTCTCATTCAAGAAAAAGGGATCACGAGCTGCCCGGGCTCCGTTCTTTTCCTTTTCCCCGGGTTCTAGCTGCACCGATGAATAACACGTGCACCTCGTCGAATTATGTAATGCCTGTCGTCCAGCGAGAATGAAATTTTTTTGCCAGCTTACCGTCAAATGCGCGAATCACCGCTGGAGAGTCAACTCTGTTCTGCTGTTCACCGGGAGACAGCGCACCAACCAGCTGATCGGACTGGCGCTCTGAGCGGGGCGCCGCCCGTCCCGGTACGCTACTGAAGAGTTCCCCCTCCCCGTAGCCGATTCCTTTATTATTGTTATTATCGTCCATTCTACGCGCCCCGTGACTACGATCCTTTTCCCTCTCGTAGGGAGCATTGTGTGATTAACTTTCACGGATAAGAAAAGGATCGATAATTTCGGAGAAGTTTATTCTTAAGGGATGTCGCCTGATATGCGATTAAGACGAAAGATGCTTCCCGGGAAATGACAGAGTCGGAATAGGTATGTCTCTCTTTTTCTAGACGATTATGCCAGTAAAAAAATGAAGAAATCGACACTGATTTTTGCTTGGTAATAGCGATTAATAGGGACACTGGTTTTGCTAATAGTGATTTCACTTTGTGATATATACATACTACGCTGAAACGCAGAATCGTATCGGTGTAATAAACATGAATTACATCTCGACATAAAAGATTGAAGATGCCTGAAGGGCTAGGTCTGTTTCAAATGTCATGCACGTTTATTAAATATATTTCGCGACAAAAAGAAAAACTGTCTTTCATGATCGATTTTACTTTCCCATAATGCCTCTCATTAAACTAACATTTTTATTTGCAAGGATTATTTAGAGACGCACACGTTTTCCAATAACGTGGCGATTTGAAGAACGCCCTAAACGCTCGATATGGAGTGCGCAATATTCGGAGTTGCGCAATAATATTGACAATATAGAGCTAATATCGAAGATACACACACGTTCACTTAAACAGCCTCCATACACCATTACGATTCTATTTACTAAACATTGCCGATGTAGCATTGGTCTATGCAAACAAAACTCATAACAGGAGAATAGAATTTAGAGACGAAATAGTTCAAGCGCCATATAGTTCAAGAGCATTAGATGTCACATAGATCAGGTAAAATATTCTAAACTTAACTGTTTCAAGCTACCATGAAATATTTTAAATATTTGAAAGCGTGTCTAAAATGAATATTTATAAATTCATTTCTAGTAAACAAACTATGCATACATATATTTGATTTTGGATATTTATCGTAATAAATAAGACATGCTGTGCTTTCAAAGCTGTACACAGGATTTAAATTAACATGGATAGGTATTTGAAATAATGTTCTAGCCAGGGCCCGAAGCTCATTAGACTCATCGGCAACTTAGTCGGCAGCCTAAGCTCCTTTATATATCGTTCTCATCCTCTTTTCTTTTTTTTCCCTCGACGTGGTTTCGTTCGAACGCCAACTACAGAATCTCTTTGTTAATGTTATGAAACGAAGCGCCCAGAGAAAGCTTAAATTACGCCTTGGCACGGAGGTCAGCGGACAAAATCAAGTTCACGGGCGTTCCTGTCGAATTCCAGAAATGTTCATGCCGTGATTTTCTTTTCGCGACACCCGGCACCCTCGGTGTCGTCCGTTCGTCTATCTGCGCGGCTCGCATTCCGGTTCTTCTTTTTGTTTGCAACTCGGCAACGGAACGAAAAGTTGATGCACGAGGCCAGGCCGGCTAAAGCTGTGTACGCTTCCGTGCTCGCGAAAAGTAGAACTCGACCTCGTTCGTCACGCGTCACCATATTGTGGCTAAAACTGTCACGAATTATTATTTCGTAATATTTATGATGTAATTTCGTTTAGTACTATCTGACCGTTGGAGCTTAGCTCTTTTCCTGTACACATCCGGTACAGGTTCCGTAACTAATGGATGCCCGCGAACCATCAAACTTTATTGTCCAACGTATTTTATAATTTATAAATGACAAACGATGGAAAGATATAATATCTAGTCATTTGACCTGAATGCAGACTATAATTTTCTGCAACGACGATGTTTTTGTATCCGAATATTGGTAATTTTTTGTGTTGAACAGTTTATATCATAATCTATAAACAATTAACATCTGGTAATCATCAGTTCTTGTTGGAGCATCATTTCTTCAGAAATGAAATAGAACGTAGTTTCGTTGAGCATTGTTCATTATATTATTGTTATAGAATCGCTATACCTAAAGTTACGCTGATTACGAGAAATCTAATTACCAACTAGAATTTTTATAAAACATTATACTATCAAAAGTAAATTGATGAACTTTCAGCATAATTTTGAAGAGATCTCGTCCAACTCGAATCATTCCTCTTGAAACAACTTATCCGCCCACTTGAGTTAGACACAAGAAAATCTAACTCGGAGGAACGCATTCCTGTAGCATGATAGGAATCGAGTAAGCTCGGGTTGGAAACATGTTCAACGATGTTCCAATTAACGTCGATTAGAAGGACAGAACTGAAGATCCTCGTCGCGGTGGAATCGTTTGAAAATTAAAGATGCCACGTCCTCTTTGTTGGACCTACAAGTGGCCATATGCAAAGCGACCAAAAAGGGGAGTGCCATATGTGGTAGCTGATAATCATTTTTTTCTCTCTTCAGAGAGAGAGAGAGAGAGAGAGAGAGAGAGAGAGAGAGAGAGAGCGAAAGAGAGAGAGAGAGAGAGAGAGAAAGAGAGAGAGAGAGTCTTTAAATGAAAAAAATACGAAGTGTTAAAACGATTCTGTGACTAAGAAATGGGAATCGTAACGCCACTAATGAAACAGATCTAGAAGGAATATGTTTTATGGGGAACCGTAGCTCATTCTTTCAGGCTGTCCTCACCGTGCTACGCAGTAAGAATGCTTCCGAAAAGTCCGTATGTGCGAGTATTGTATTTAGACTGAAGACGTAGAGTGTGCAAGGGAAATTTTGTCGAAAATCCGGATACATAATATGCACCTTGACGTACAGATGAGATGAATTACGAGCAGAGCAGAGATCGCTTAATTAAAAATAAGCTAGAAGACACGCTGTCTGAGGAACATTTTTACTTTTTAACGAAAAGTCAACCCTTTGGCGGATTTGTTTGTACGTCTGTGTGAGAAGGGCGACGTGGATTTCACCGTACGGCCCTGGGACAAAGTAACACAGTGCCGTAGAGAGGTTACATTAAATAAATTTTTCGTCTTGGACCTCATTTCAGAACACCATATTGGAGTCAATAGGATAGAGAACATTGTTCTTTTCTAATGCTTTTTAAAATATTACTGGTACGTTATCGTATTAGGATTGACAAGAAATACTTTTACGCAGTTATAGTAACTTCTCCGTCACAATTTGTTAGTCTAGCACATTTATCGTAATTTGTCGTTAGCGAATTTGTCGCAATTATTTAACAATATATGGTAGATGTTGATATGACCAGTTGATTTTTCGAGATACTCCAAAAATGAGATAGCAACATATACATATATATATATAGCTATTTTAAGTATCTCTAATAAGCACATAATTGTGAGTAATGCTGGATATCGATAAAGCATTATGTATTGCTCAATGTTATTATCAATAAACAAGAAAATTTTTAAGTACGGTTACTTATGTACCGATGATGTAACTTTATACGAAATAATCAAAGAGAAAAATGCAGAATATTTCTAATAGAATTATCGCTGGTTTATTAAAGAATCATCGAACATCGAGGTTAACTTACAAAGTTCTCCGAATAGTCACATAGAGAAACGAAAATTCCTGTAAGATATTATTAAAATGACTGAATTACTGAATTTATAGCAATAAAACAATTCTAATACGGAATTTCGATTTCAGGGAAGGTGACCGGGGCATCGGACGTAGATTGATACGTGTTTGGTCGATCGTAGTGGGGGGTAGAGACCGGCGCATGCGCGTTGGTTCGGTAGTGGCCAGCTGTGCGTGGACGTTTCAACGCGGCGCGGCTGGCGGTGGTGGCAGCTAGGAAAGCAAGCGAGCGAACGAGCGAGCAAGCGAGCAAGCAAACAGCCAGAGACTGCCCTCCTGTCTCCCCCACCCCTAGCATGCCTCGGAGAGCCCATGGCCTCCGTACACACGGAGGAGAGTGAGGCAGCCCCAGCCGCTCCTCACGTCATCCGCTGAGAGAGAGACGACGGGCCTCGACACGGCGAGGAGCAATAATTCTAACGAGCCAAGATGGCGGCGGACACGGTGGCCCTGTCCGCGCTCACGCTCGCCAGGGGCGACAAGATCCTCGTGACCGTCGAGTCCGCGCTGCCGGACATCGTCGTCGTGTCCTTCGTCCACGGTGCCAAGTGCTTCCAGGGCGCATTGCTCGACGCCACCAAGAGGTAAGCGTGCTAGCTAGACAAGAACTTCTTGGTTCGTATCCCGACTCTTCTTCCCCTGACCCTGTCCGAACTACCAAGCCTCCGTTCCCCGTCGCGTTCCGAACTCCTTTGTCACCAGGAGTTCCCTGCGATTAAGGATTCGTCCACGCCGAGACCAAGACCGAAGGAACCGAAGAGCCCAGGCGACCGTGTCATGCTGTGCTCGCGAACCGTCTCGTGGCCCGCGATTGTTTTCTCGCGTGTGCAGAGACGCATAAGTGTGTTGTCCCCGAGGCGAGAGTATACCGTGTGAAATCTCGGCTGGTTTTGGTGGTTTCTCTGTGAAACGTGCTCGATAAGAACCCAAGTGAACTGCTATGATGACACCCGGCCGCGGCCGTGTGCGCGATTAAAGCCTACCCGCATTTCGAGCGGTCCGACGGCGAGCGACGGCCGACGTTGTAAACCTACCGTCGGTCGTCGCTTTTATTTTCAACGTTGCGAAGGCCCTACGCGTGTGCTAAGCTAAAGTGTCCTGTCGTTGTGTACACCGAGTACGATATCGCGGTCGCGTGGACCTCATGTAGCTGAATAAGAAAACAGTGGATGTTTTGAAGGATCCTTTGGTGGACCGTTCGGTCGTCTTTCCATGTAACATCGCGGCGGCCAGTGGTGGTTTTTTGGTCCAAGACGATGCGGAGCCTCGGTTGACACTTCCGGTCTGGCTCGGCCGTGGACGGACTTTCCTTCTTCGGCCGCCTTTTTCTTTTTCCCTTCTTTACGATTAGAACACCAGAAGATACGGACACGAGAGCTTCACGCTCCCAAGATTTCCTGCGAAAACGGGGTGGCCGTTTCGCCGTGCCGTTACGTGCCCCGCATGTCGTAAGTCTTCTCGTAAAGCGGCTTTTGTTCTGCAAACGGAAGTAGTTTTACGATGACTCGCGACTCGCGCCAACCTCTCGCTCGAACTTTTTTACGATTGCGAAAGAAGCCGGTCGTTCATTAAAATTCTATTTATTCGACGAATAAGCGTGGCATTCCGACTCGGACAACTTGCCCTCCTTCTCCCCCTTTTTGTTCACCGTTCCTTCTCGGCAGAGGGGGAGTTGTACACTGTTTTTATGCTGACTTTGTTTCTTCATGGTCCAAGAGATTATGGATACTTACCGTGACAATAGAGCCATTGGTAGGGAGGAGGGGGGGGGGGTTGGAATTATGGCTCGGGAAATTTGACCATATGGGTTTGAGTCCGCGGTCGAAATAGTGGACTATTTCATTTGCGTTGCAAATGTTGAGCCTGTGGTTGATTAACGTGCTTATTTTTGGTCTGTAGAACACCAGAATTTTGTATGTTCGAGCTAGAAGCCGAGCAAGAATACGAGTTCTTGGCATTTCTTGAAAGTTACCCTTCAAAGGTTCGGAGTTGGTAGTTGTATATTGTTTTTACGCACCGAGACTACAAGGTTGAATTTCACTTTGTAATCGGAGAGATTAAGTGGAATTCTTTGATACAGGCTTGATAAGCCGGTCACATGATTTGGGTTTGTGATTGATGTACAGGATGCCTACCGTAAATTCGGAATTCGTGTGGTATTTTGTATTCATTAACTTCCAACATTCGCAATATGGTATCCGTACAGGTAATTGCAGTGCAGCGTAATTGGAATGTGATTAGTCACGACTTCACATGTATCTGCATACGGTTTTGGGTGTGTGAAGTAATGCAATATTCACTTTGCAATTAAGCTTTATTTTGGTATTTTATTTGGGGGTTTTGTATTGCTGGGGTCAGAAAGATTGATTACCTTTGATTTAAAAGATTAGGCTGGTCATATGGTTGCGGACGAGGAGTGGCGAAATAGTATCCTAGAATTTACCTACGAATTCTTTTTGACGATCGGCCTTTGAATTTTGTTCACACAAGCAGGGTTAAGTGGATTGGATTAAATAGCATTGAGTACCATTAACGTAGACAATTAAAATCGACAAGGGTACATTATACTTTCTATACTATAGTTATTTAATGTGTCTATTTTCGTATGAACTGTACGCTGCTTGGCTTATGGTGATTATCAGCTTAAGTCAATCATGGTCTCATAAATTAAACATGAATTATGAACGCTAGATATCGTTAATATTATATCTCGTTTCCCAATTTATATTCGTTGCTAAGACTCCGACAATGAACGTAAGCAAATTCGAAATCTTTTCGTGAAATTAGAATGATGTTGTAATATGCTCGAGGTTCTGTGTAACGATAGTCATCAAAATTCAGTTGAATTCACTTTATCAGTCGAGCAAGAAGTACATATCTGTACTTGAAACAGCGACTCGTGATTACTTATAAATAAATGTCTACATTGTGCCAAGAGAAAATGAAAGACCAAAGTGTATCTTCCACATTTTCTATTCGAATCATAAAGCAGCACCGTGCATCACTATGTTACAACAGTTCTTTCACTACGATCTCTTGAAATCTCTCCAAACGACCGGGGATTTATGCGAAATGTATGTTGAGCCTGACAATTTGCATGTTTCCGTGCAGTCGCCTTTTCTTTGTCGTTCTAATACCTTTTTGCCGTGAAAAAAAAGAAGCATGAATAACTCTGATGCAGATATTACCTCAGGGTTTGATAGGGACTCAAAGTCAGTAGAGTGAGTCATGCTCGCCTGGCGCTGCCTCGTTCGTACAGTCATTGCTGATTTCACTTCACCGCAGTGAAAATATTCGGTTTGACACAGACCGATCCCAGCTGCTCAAAAGTCTTTTATGGTGTACCGGATCATGGTGTTGCACCAGGCCTCGATGATCGTCCATAATTCGATTCACTTTGGACCAGTTAAAGTTGACCGATCGCCGTGCGAAAATCGAATCGCATGCACGGGGAATGCAGCAATATTTTCTGCTGCAGCACCGCGTTGCACGCCTATTATAATTTAAAAATATATTTACGGCGTCCGTGTTATTTGAAGTGTTCATCAGTTTCTATTCACCGCCGCCAATGGCGTTCCCATAAATTCTACGATATTAACATTCGAAGCCCGCGGATATTGACGTTATGATTTAATAAACTTCACGGGAAGTTTAATTACGTGTCTTCGTATCGTTATTCCTGACGCTGCATGATTAATTGTTAGCAATTAATGTTTCATTCAGCGCGTCCACAATTTTTCAGATCCACGTTTAGGAAATTAATTGAACGATTTTACAATGGGGCTTACTCGAACATGTAATTACTATAGCGTGGAATTTCATTAAAGCGCCGCATGATTTATGCATCGTTGGTTCTGAAAAGAGTATTTTAGTATTCAATATCTGCAGACAATATTCGAAATATTTAAATCGAAAATCCCGCTTTCTTGCCGTTAATTCGATATCTCTCTATTTAGACTTTCAATCTTAATTATGTGAAATTCAAAATTACATGAATATTGAAATGTTGGAGAAGGGTGCTCCAGGAGAAATATTTCACTTCGATTCACCTCGTTTCTTTATCGATGAAAAATCAAATCAATTTATCAAGGACGCGAGCTACCAAATTGTAATTATTCTTTACTGAACAATACCGCGAAAAATAGAACATTCCTTTTTCACTCGCTCAATTCGTAGGAGCAAGTACAGGTCACCCATCCAGTACGCGCATTGTTCAAATACATTTCTGCGAAAGTATAGGTCGCACAGGGATACGAATTTCATAACATCGGACAAAAAATTTAATGAATGGCCTTCGACCTACCAATTAGGAAAGATACCGAGCCTCCCTCGGTCGCTCCCAGCCCCGTCGTACCCCCGGCCACGTGTTAGCCTTTTTTTTTTTACTATTTCACGAACACGAAGTTCAGCGAAATTTTTAATTAACACGATTCCGGCCCCGTATCTCCGCGCGCCATTCGGGGTCCTCCTAGGCGAAGTTGATTTTATCGGGCTCATTTTCCCTGTTTAATTGTACGTATTACCATAACGTTTACAACGGGACGCCCAACGAACGATAAGAACTCTAGCAATAATCTCGTCCTGTTCGTGCAACGGGGAATATCCGAGCAACTATCCGGACCGCTCGAAATATTCGTGAAATCCAGGATCTCGGGCTGATCCTGCGAAAAAGCTCGCAGTTCCCAGCTTTTTCGAGCGCCACGATTAATATGGGACGAACTGCCGAAATAAGGTCGGCTAACTCGTGCTGACTTCCGCGTTACCAATTTTACCGTCGAAAACAAACTCGCTCGTTCTCGCGCACCTTTCGTTAACGTCTCCAAGCGAATTGCATTTGTTCCACGAATTTGCGGGAACGCGACAACTCGCGGCTAGTTTTATTGCAAATACTGTGGCAAATTCGTAGGTTGCTTTATCCAGAAACTGTTACAACAGAAATGAAAAACGATCATAGAGTAACAATTATTCCATTCAATCGAAATGTCTTTTCGTTACAGATAATAATTATGAATAACAAAACTCATTCTAGTTGCCAATAACGATTATCGATGAGGGAACTCGACTTTGGTTGCTTATAACTAGACAGCGAATTTTTATTCAAAATAAAAATTGTCTGCACTAATTGCACGATACAGAAACAATATACAAATTTCTTTCTTTCCTAAACTACATTATCAAGGTGAACACAGTGTAACAGTATGTTTAAATCCTTGAAATTCGATCTAGTCATGCAACAGTATTTCTAAATTCTTGAAATTCGATCTAGACATTTTTGTGCTAAATGCATACATTTTTATTTAATTCCTGCTTCTTATAATTAGATCATTTTTATTTTGCACGAAGGTTCCACAGTTTAGCTAGAACATTTGTTCTTCTACGAAACTCATACAGCATGCAAAATGGCAGCCGATAGTGTTCACTTTTAATTTTCCTTTAAGAACACATCGAATTCGTAAAACCTTTTATTAATTGAATTATTTATTTAATTAGCACTTAGAAACATTTGTAGAATGAGTTACTTTCAAGTGGACTTTCAAATTCTACTTCTGAAGTGCAAAGACAACTTCATTCGTTTAAGGATTCATATCGAATTCTCAAACGAGAATGAACTTTGCGTTGCAGTATTAGCAAACCATGATATAGTAGATTATTACCTAAATCTTGAGACAATTTCAATGTAAATAAAAATCCAGTCTCCGCCGTAAGTAGATTTTCTTGTAAGAACATATTGAATTCGCGCAGACACTTCCATTCATCCAATAAATGCCTATTTAATCAGTACTTGGAGCTCTCTGTAAAATGGATTACTTTTAAGTGGACTTCGAAAGTGTAACATCTTGATCTATTTAATGCCGACTCTTACCTCCTAACGTAAATCAATATTGCCATGCAATATTAGCAAACTGTGTTATCCAGAGCACGGTAAAGGCTCGACTATCCGGTCCTTCAATATCTAAAGCAAGCCATTTGCTAAACGATTTACCGTAAAAATCAGTACAGATAAAATCTGGCGCTGTAACTAAATAACTGCTCCATTATCCGAATATTAATGTTAGTTTGCTCACCCCGGATAATCGATGGTGCATTGTATTACGTAAATCTGCAGATAGTTACACGTTAAAGGATATCGAATTTTTGCAGTGAGTAGCTTTTCCACGGAAGATCCGACACCACCGTGCACGTTTGCTGCGTTTTAATGGACAGACAAACCGCTGGATGCGGCTCTAGCGGTCACCAGTATCTATCAATCAATTTCGAAAGCAAGAGTGCCGTAAAGTGATTAGCCCACGAAGTCACGTCTGTGTGACAACGGTCGATAAACGACGGCACGGCGAACTCACGCGAACGTGATGCCGGCTGTCGGATTGTTAACGCAAATCGTGTGCCCCGAACAATTTTCGGTATTCCGTAGGAAGAACGAACGGTGTCTGGAGCGAATATTAATACAATTTTCAATCGATCCACAGTCTCTCCGCGCCTGCTCCTCGTCCCCAACCCTCTTGTCACTCGTCGTTCCTTACGAAATTCTGATTTCGAGCCGTCTCCGTCCACGACTATCTCGCCGTACCTCCGAGAAAATTTGCAACTTTTTCGACAAAACCGGTGATCGATGGCCGCGCATGTGTGCACGTGTGCCGCACGCTATAATAAAAAGGAACCACGCTGCTCGCGTCTCGACAGTTTTTCCATTACGTAAGCGTATCATCCTGATGCTAATAATACGCCGGCGTCCCTTGATGGATTCTGTCACGGAATCCGAGTTATCCGCCGAAATCTGGGGACGGGAATGGTATCTTAAACAAAATGGGGCTTAATAAATTGACCGGGGGAAGTGCACACCGGGTGGGCCGCGTGAAACGGCGAAACGAATGTCTTCGTTACTGTTCTTCTTCAGCGGGAAGTTATTTCTTTCGAGGATTTAGCTGCTTCGCATTTTCACCCTTAATTCTTGATTTAAACCTTCGGGTAAATTACTTTTACGAAAAGACCCGAGCGAACAGGAATGATATCTTAAACAAAATGGGCTTTAATGAATTGTTCCACGTAAATTCTTAAAAAAAAAAAAATAGTACACGTAGCCTGAGAAATGTCGAAAAAGTTTAACGCCTTCCGTATTGTTTTTCTGCCTATTGTAGGTTCAAGATCCTGTTTTTATTGTTCTTAAAAGGTTTGGCTTACACATTTTTGGATCATTCATTTGGCGAATAAACGCAGAAGACAATACATAATTGCCAAAATCTTTGAACAGGATTGCTGGATTGAATAAAATAGGGTTTAATGTGTGTGTGTGTGTGTGCTTTGTTTCGCTAAATTCTGAGGAGAGAGCATAAATAGCCTGTGCATTATAGAGAACGGTGTCTTCAACATCGTCCGCCTTTTGTCTTCTGCAAGTTCAAGATTCCCTGAAATTTATTTTTCTCAAAAAGTTGGGTTTCTTCCAAGCTTAAACCCTTAACTGTTGGCTTACATCCTCTGTAATAAATTATTTGGTGAAAAAGTGTAGAAAGCGCTCGAGTGTGTTCAACTCATCTGCCAGAATCTTGGAACAGGGATGATGTCGTATACAAAATGAAATTTCCATGCGCACGGCCTGTTCTTTGAGAAATAGAGCAAGAGTTTGATGTCTTCAATAGCATCTTCGCATCTTCCGTAGCTTCAAGATCTTTTCAAATTTATTTTTCTCGAGATCTTCGGTTTTATTCAAAACTTCGTTCCTTCACGGCATACAAAGCTCAGGATCCAGGGGTTAGGTTGTTGATTGAAAAAGTGTGAGAATGTCTTCGATGCACCGCTCACGAATTTATCGTCCATTAAAGAATGCAGGCGGGTATGAAGATAATTTTCCGAAGGAAAGCGGAACAGAAATCAATAACTCGCGGGATTCCCGCGTAAAGCGGAGATGCGTCTTTTCCTCGTTCGTGAACTTTTGTATTCACGGGACCGGACTAGTAGATAAGGAATGCTTCAGTATGTAAATTTAATCTTCCTCGATACTGTACTCGCGAGATTTGAATACGTACGATCTAGTCGTGTCTCCTCATTTGTTACGAAGATGTAATAGCCGTACCTGGAGCATTGTTCCCGATCCTCGTCGATTGTTATGGCACATTTATTTTTCTGTATCTCATCCTATACGAAATTCGATTCTCGTAGATACTATTACACACCTTTATCTTACCTCGTATCTTCTCGTTCTAGAATTTATGCGATTCTGTTACACCAATGCTATTAGACACACGAAATTTCAATTTCAAAATAATGTGTATATATAGCATTTTCTAATCTACAATGTAGATAATGAAACAACGCTAAGCAGTCTACGCAGGCAAAGTCCAAGGCAGAATTTGCAACGTTACGGTTCAGCTTTTTCGGTCAGAAGATATTCTTTCTAATGGATTTTCAGTAGGAAAGATGTTGAATTTCACGCACGCAACATTGTAATTACCGCGGCATGAAAATCTTGAAATACAATTTCCTTCGCGGTGGGACGAGAAACGTTCTTTTTTCAAGACAGAAATTCCTTTAAAGCATTCTGTGGATTCCCGTTCCAGTTTCCTATACATAGAATCGTTGTTTCAATGGAAACATTCCTCCCAGCCGCGTGTACAATAAAGCATTTTTTTCGAGAGTGTGGATAAAGCGTCGCAGAATCGAACGAACAGAAACGATGAGAAACATGCTCAAGATCCTATCGGTACATTAAATAGAAGATAAAGAGGGTGTCGAAGGGGGGGGGGCGAAGGAGAAGGAATAAGGGAGCCTTTAGAGACCCGCGGGTTTACGTTCCACGCATTTGCTCGCGACCGAACGCCTCTGGTATGTTTTTTGCATTCTTCTTCGGCCGACAAGGAAAGTTAATTAACGCGAAACAATCCTCTAGGAACGGAACATTGTCTGTGAGATGAATGAATCATTTTTCAGCTGAAGCATCGCTTTGGCTGCTGGGCTCTTCATGAAAATTCAGATTTCTCGTAAGACAACCTCGTGAAAACCGTGGACGAGTCCATATGGCTCGCCGATTGATTATTTATATTTATTCTTTCCACGATCGAAAGTGGAAAAATACTGCATAATGCAACAGTCTTGAAACGCTTTTTTGCAAATGCACTTACCAGCGAATAAATGTTGCGTTAGGATCAAAGTGCGATTATTGTTTATCTAGCTGATAGCGGCACTCTCCAACCTCTTTTTAAAGAGACTCGTGAACACATTCCATGTCCGTTCAATGGCTGCGCTGTTTTTTAAACGCGTTCGAAATTATTCCGATTTGTAAGCTCTTTATTTGACAAATAACCATTTAAATCTTTATTTAAATTATGCTCACGGAATGTGTGGAAGTAACTAGGTTCAAGCTTTATTTAACAAATTGTCCGACTTCCATGTTCATAACTATCTGAATCTTCTTAAATTATTCTCACAAAGTGGAGCTGACTAGGTTTAACTTTTTTTAAACAAATTGTCCAACTTCCATGTTCGTAATTATTTGAATATTTAATGAAATGTCGCTTACAAAGAGGAACTTAACTGGCTTCAACTTCTATTTAAGAAATGGCCCGAATTCCATGTTCACACATAACTGTTTCAATCTTCGTTTAAATGTGTCGACCTCTACGCTCACATTTATCTCAATCTTTTTAAATGACGCCCACAAAATGGGACTGGCAAGGTTGAATTTTTATTTAACAAACTGCCGGCCCCCGGAGATAAAAACTACTAGACTTATTTATGCGCGAGGTTCGCTGGCTCGGAAAATTCGCGGAAGATCTCGGACGTCATACCGTAGATCTTCCACGAGTTTCCCGGAGATCAGATACGGTTTCCAAAGCATTTTTCATAAAAATTTCGCGTCGCCGTCGTCTGCCGTTGTATTTTCTACGGCAAAGGGGGCCAGGGGAGGAGGGCCGTGCAACAAAATCAATGTCCTCGAAGGAGAGGAGCCCCAGAAATGATTTCGAAGCCACCCCTCGAGCACATCAGTTGGGACGTATCGATCGATCCCTGTGAATTTACGGCTGTTCCTATCTAGCAACGATTCGATGCGGGTATTAAATGTTAATGGCTATAGTCCGACTAGAATCGAGATGCTGTTCCACCGTTAAATTTACGGGTCCTCTCGCCCATTTGCTCGCCGAGATCATCTCCCGTTTATGGAGTCATCAGTTAATTTCGAATCTACGATTGAAAATTGTGACGTCGAGACGTCGAGTCTTGATTTTCGAATTATAGTAAATTTTCCCCAATTTTTCGTCAACTTGTAAACAAAAATGGCCAATTTGGGAAGAAAAGATACGATTATTCGAGCCGCGCGGCTCATTATATATATTATATATATTATATATTTATATAATAATCGTATTTCATCTTTTCCCATCTTTTTATAAGCTGAAAGAAAATTAGCGAATTTCATTGCCGACTGAATCAAAAAAGTGTAGTAGCAGTTTTATATTACGCTCGTATAATATTAGTTATATTATTATAGATATTATTATAGATATTATTATTATAGATATTATTATTATAGATATTGTTATTATAGATATTATTATAGAAGATGAAAATTTTCATAGATATCACGAATTAAATAATGTTGGTCTCGCCTGTACCACGTGCAGGCTACACGTTGGAAGAATCAATTAGCAAGCAAGTCTGTTCTTCGATTGATATATCGAACGAAATTCTTTTTGGAAATATTTTTACTCGTTCCCCTGTTAAATTTTTGGTCGCTTTCGTTAATTAGCTCGCGGAGATCATCTTTCGCTTGCGGATTACCGAATAGCGTCGCTTAATTAGCAAACAAGTCCCTTCTTCGATTACAAATTCCAGACGTTCTCGATTTTGAAAATATTTTTATCCATTCCGCCGTGAAATTCGTGGTTGCTTTCGTTAATTAACTCTCTAGATTTTGGAAACACTCCACCAGCTTCGAAGATAATTGAATGATTATTAATTCAAGATCGTCGCCGAGATACAGTTACACCTACATTTGAGCGGTCTATAATAAACTTCCACAACCGAAACGTGAAACTATGATCACGGTTGTAATAGTCCGAGGATTAAGCGGCAAGGTTGTCCAGCAAACAATAATAATAATAATTCAAAAGTCACACGGTGCTCATTGTAATAGCTAATAGCGATCAGGTTATGCTACATTTGTCAGTGCTCGCTATTCAGCTGAACGAATCGTTCAAACTTATAAATTTCCATGATAATTTCCGTTTCCAGAAAATAATGGACGTTCTGTGAGCGATGACGCAACTCGGGCTCTTACCTAACGCGATTACGTTGACAATTATTTTATGAAACAAGGAATTGTCTTCTGTTACAAAGTAGCTTATAAACTGCCCATCGCTGCGCTAGTATCTCTCGTCGTAATAATATTATTTTATATCTAGAAGCTAGCTCTCGACGGATGGTTAGTTCGACCAAGGTAATTAACCTTTCGTGTCGCATGTTAAAACGTACGATCAGATTACGTTCCAATCGATTCTGCAATTATTTTTTGTTCAACACTTTCTACTTCGGTTTTTATCTTGCATTGAGAAATATTAGAATGTGCGGGTGAATTTATCCGCGAGATGGAGATTAGTTAGTTTTAGTTAATTTATTCTATTATTCCCGTCTGCGGATGAGAATTTTTTTTAAATATTATATTCTCGTACAAAGCTTTTTTCCTGGGAAGATATGAATTCTCCTCCTTTCGTTTAAATGAAACGTTTCAATAATACATTTTTGTGCAATTACGTCAATAATGAACCAAATGCAGAACTATAAAAATGTGAGAAGAGTAGACGAACATTGTTACATTATATTTAAGATAACACGATTATTAAAACGGGAAAGACACTTTCATTTCAACCTATAGAATTTCTTACAATTAGCTTAGACAGTTTTTATTTTGCATAAAAGTCCATAGTCCGACGAATCTTTTCAAAATCAAATCTAAATCTACTTCGCGCTTCGATAAACTTCAATAAAGTCGTCAACATTTCTCAGACACTCTTCATCTTTGTTATATAGAAATTCACTTCATAATAATTCACTCATAAAAATCCGCGTTCGTCTGAACATCGGTAAACAAGTACGATTCTCGTACGAGGGCAACAAGCATTCAGCGCGTCCTCGGTTCTTCGCTAATTCCGCATGAATTATCGTATAAAACGTAAACCGTATTTATTTTTCATTTGATCGTCGCGTCGACGGTAATGCGTCCGATTAAAGTAATAAATAAACGAGAACGCGCTGGCATCGTCGATCGGATAAATATTTATGCAAATAGAGCCTCGATTCCTGGGCGATACTGAGCTGTCGAAAATAATGCAGCAGAAAAAAAAGAAGATGTCGTCGCCTAGTTCGTCGAGGCCGACGACTGTTATTCCTTCGTCGCGCTTTGCACACCTCGACGTATTCATTACGGTTATCCTCGCGTTAAGGGCGTTTTCACGGCTCGAATGGCTGTATCAACGTCCGTTTATTAGGTCGGGCAATAAGCGGAGCTCGCGTTTTCTTCGTAACGGCACCGAGTGTTATTGCCAGGCCGCGGTCATCCATGGAAGTTCACGCTTTTCGTTGATTAACAAAAAGCCAAGATTAAAACGGGACTTACGCTGCCCTTTATGTCTGGCTGTTTTATCCGATCGAACAGAAAAACGGAAACTTTTTATATTTTCAACGGCTTCTTAACCGTCGCCGGGCAACGTCTATGCAAATCAAACTTTTCCAATTTCCGACGCGAATTTCCTTCGTTAAGAAAACACCGGAGTCGCGGGGACGAGGAAATTAAACGCGCGAGAAATGTGTCGGCGTTTAAATGCGCGATTTACGATACGCGGGATCGTTTAGTAAACAGAACGCTTGAGATTGTTATTTAATTATGTATCTCTTTCTTCGAAGGTGAAAGCGATTATTGGACTTCCGAATGATAGCCGGCGATGCAACATTGTTGCAGAATATTCGGAGATACCGTTTATAGATTTTGCGCGCGTGTGTAGTGAATAATTCATCGTTGGAGATGCAACCGTTTTAAACGCAACAGTGCACATTTAACGATAAATTTTGTCAGAAAACTGCAAATGCCATTAGTAGAATTATTTCCTGTTAGAATAAGAAATAATTCAACGCTGAAAAAGTAATTACTGAAGTATAATCCTACGGTCTCGATGAGTAAAAAGTAGCGGTTCGTACGCAACGGTGCGCTTTTAAAAATTAACTTCGCCGC